ATGGGCGCCCGCCGGCCCGGCCCGGCCCCTGCAGCACCAGCAGGGCCCCGCAGCCCCCGCTCGCCGCCCGGCAGCCGGTACCGCTCCTCCTGCAGCTTCGCCCGGAGCTGAGGCAGCGGCAGCGCCGCCAGGTCCGGATCCGCCATCGCCGTCTCCTGGCAACGGCGGGACGCGGGGCGGGGCACGGGAGGCGGAGGGTTACAGGACACGGGGACGGGGCGCAGGTGGTCCCGCGACGGGCGGGCCACGATAGGCGGAGGGATATGGCAAAGGGCAGACATGGACATTGGGCAAGGGACACGGGGGACACGGGCCCAGGGGGACATGATGGGACAGGGAGCATGGGGTCACAATGGGACATGGGGGGGAACACAGGGACATGGGCAGGCACATGACATGGGACACAGGATATGGGGACGCACAGGGACAGGGGGCATGGGGGATACAGGGGCACAGGACAGAGGTCATGGGGACATGGAATGGAGGGACACACGGACAGGGGCCACAGGACATGTGGGCACACGGTGACACAGGGACAGGGGGCCTGTGGGGACACAGGCACAGTGACACAAACACATGTAGGGACACACACAGTGTCATGCACACAGACGCACACGCACATGTATGCACAGACACCTGGACACATGCGCCCACACTGACGCGAGGTCACACACATGCACACACACACGCAGCTCGAGCCGTGCTCCCCCCTGCACGGGGCTCCCGGGGGTCCTGCAGGCCTCCGGTGTGAGGACGTGGGGGGAGCCAGCCCCCCAGTGACACAGCAGCCCCTGCCTGAGGCTGCATCCCGGGGGATCATTGAGACCCAGGGAGGCGTCTGCAGTGCAAACCCATCCAGGGGGGGTTGGCTGGTGGTCCGGTGCCAAAGGGGGAACCCCCCCGGGGGTCTCCTGGGGTACACATCTCTTCCGCTCCTGGGTGCCCACTCCCAGGTGGTCCTAGTTAGGTGCTGCCTCCTGGCCCCTCTCCTCCAGACACCCCAGGCAGGATCCAGCCTGTCAGCCTCCGGCGGGGTGCAGACAAACACTGGCCCCTGGCTCCCATTTGGGGTGTATCTGCACCACGGTGGGGCTTTCTCTGCCTGTGATGCTACAGTCTTCCTCTCAGACACTCTGTTCTATCAGGGTCTGGCTGTAGAACTGGGGGGAACAGTAGCACGGGTCCTGAAGGCAGGTGCCCCTGCAGGCATGCCTAACTCCAGGAGCTTTGTGAGGGTGGGGAGCACCCTTTCCAAGTGTCCGTGTCTGGATGCTGCCCATGGCACAGCAACGTGCTCTCACTTCCCTGTGCTGGGTGCTCAGGACCAATGAGGGCAGGTGGCAGGTCTGTTTAAATGTGCATCTCTCTCCCGAAAGTTGATGATGTGGCTGGCGATGCATCTCCATGGCTTTTCTGAGATAAGGGATGCAAGTCAACCTAATTATATAAATGGAAGAAAAATCAATGCCCTGGCAATGATGGTCCTATTTCTGGCCAGAACATGTCAAAACTCATCTTCAAAACATATCTTGAGTCATATCCACATTCGATCCATGGGAGGAACCACGCTTCATGACCTTGTTGGGTACAGGGATCGGCACCCCTCACTGCAGGATCTTCATCACATATAGAACTCAATGTCAGAAATCAAGCATTTTGAGATAAGGAGGAGGGGACAGCATGGATGTGACATGGCCTGGAGGTCTTCTCTGCGTGCAGGGTGGGACAGGTATACTATGAAACAGCTTAACATGGCGACATGAATGAAAAGGTGTGTTAAAAGCAGGGCAGGATTAAGACAGCAGAGATAATTATAACACCAGACTGTTGGTCTCTGCACCGGCCCATCTTTTGTGATGCTCCAGCCTGAAACAGCCAGTCATTCATAGTTTTGTAGGATGGAGAGAGGCAGCTGAGTGACCCAGGGGAACTTTGCTGGGATGGTGGGCAGGGGTGGCATCTTTGGAGGGTCCAGCCATGTTGCATTGGAGGTTTTGTGGCTTCAGGAAAACAGGGTGCAGATTTTAAAAAGTTTATAGCTCTGTCCAGCTGCACAAAGCTTTTCAGAGGTCAGCAGGAGACTCAGCACATCTCCCAGAATATTTGTCCCTTGCCAAATGCCAGGCTCCAGAGCTCTGCTGTACCTTCAGGACAGGATCTCCAGGTGCTTTTAATGGTTGAAAACATATTTTCCCTGACTTTGCTCTGGGAAACAGCTGGACCTTTCTGGCCAGGTTTGAAGATGGTAATAATGTTAATATAAACAGCTCACTAGCATTTCAGAGACAGTAGGTAAAGCTTGGCAAACTTTCCCGTGACTGCAAACAGAGCTTTTTGCTGTGGGAAGCACCGGGCAGAATCAGAAACCAGCAGGCAGCCCCAGTTCCCACGGCTGGGCAGCTGAGACATCAGCTGGAGGAGCTGGAAGCACACCGGTTGCCTTTCCTGCCAGAAATCAGCCTGGCAAGCCGGTTTGGTAGCCTGCCTGCGTCTCACTGGAAAGTGCTGAGGAACATGTCACTGGTGATGAAACTGCTGACCTAGTGTATTCTACCGGGATCATGATCCTTCAGAAAAATTTTAGCCAGCTCAAAGTTGGCTATCCCCAAACAGCAGCACCCTGTGAAATGCAAATCTCCCTTTTAATAAAGGATTTTACTGTGGTCCCATGCAAAATTTACTGGGAGAGATTTTGGGCCACTCACCCCAAAAAGGCCATTGAATGAGTCGAGCGTGTCCAGAGAAGGGCAACGGAGCTGGGGCAGGGTCTGGAGCACAGGTCTGATGGGGAGCGGCTGAAGGAACTGGGGGGGTTTAGTCTGGAGAAGAGGAGGCTGAGGGGAGACCTCCTGGCCCTCTACAGCTCCCTGAAAGGAGGGTGCAGAGAGGGGGGATGAGTCTCTTGAGCCAAGGAACCAGCGCCAGGACAAGAGGGAATGGCCTCAAGCTGCGCCAGGGCAGGGTCAGGCTGGCTCTGAGGAAGGATTTCTGTGCAGAAGGGGCTGTTGGGCGTTGGAATGGGCTGCCCAGGGCAGGGGGAAGTCCCCATCCCTGGAGGGGTTGAAGAGTCGGGTTGACCCCACGCTGAGGGATCTGGTGGATGTGGTCAGGGTGAGGTTCATGGTTGGACTGGAGGAGCTTCAAGGGCTTTTCCAACCTAGACGATTCTGTGATTCTGTGAACATCTCAGCTGTGCAGCAGTGCAGATATAGGTCTGTGGAAAAGCCATACGCGCATGCTGGTGTCACAGCACTGCTTTAACCTGTGACTCAGTGCCTTTGCATATGCTTTCATAAATTCCAGTTTATGCAAGGGCTGACTGCTTTGCTTATGCATTTCTGCACCTCCTCCAGGCCCTAGCAGATGATCATCTCCATTCTGCAGTCCTGGTAGGAATAGGTCAATAATCTGAACTCTGGATGTGGCAGACTTCCCCAAGGACAGCTGATTTTCCTCTCACTTTGGTAAAATGGGTTTAGCAGGAATGGGTGCTGAGCTTGCCTTTTCTCTCTAGTGCTGAGTACCCTGGGAGATCGAGCATTCTGAACACATCCTCCTTGTTTTCCAAAGTCCCTGCAAAAGTCTTGCCTGGACTATGTTTGGTCAGGACCCGAAGTATGAAATGATAAAGTCTTGTTGGGTTTTCTAATCATTCAGTCTCAGGTATGTGGAAAGTTCACTGTGTTTTGCAGCACACAGTTGACTCCACATCTTTCCAGGGAGACTTTCCTTAGGTTTCCTCAAAACTTCTAGGCCCAGCACTCACATCAGCTTTAGCCCTTGTGAATTGAGGACCCTGTGGTTCCTTTTCCTTTCTTAGCACCCAAAGGAAAAGAATATCATGTCTCTATGTACTTCAATCTGGGAGAGCAGCATAAGGTTTATCTCTGCTTACCAAGTACTGCTTTTCCCATTAATAGCAATACCAAGAAGTGCAAAATCTACAGGCAGTTTGAAGGCTTCAACCTCACCTTGGTTTTGACTTGAAAATGCATGCCTACTGAAAAGGACAGTGGTGGCCCTGTGACCTGATGGCTGGAAAGGCTCCTCAGCAGCCAGCATGAAACAGCCTGGAGCCTCGTCTCATTTCCAGCTGAGCCTGAGCTGATGTTTGGAGACCAAGCAGGAGCAGTGCAGGAGTAAGACCAAGCAACCTGTGTCCCACTCTCTGCTCTGTCACCCCATGGGCTGGTGGCTGGTGCTGCAACCCAGTTGGCACGGGCTCAGGGAAGGGGTGGAGTTGGCAGCTGCCCTGGGACTCACCAGGCACCGGGAGGTGAGGCCATGAGGTGGATTGAAAATTGGCCCAGAAGGTGGTGGTTAGTGGCACAAAGTCTAGTTGGAGGCCAGTCACTAGCAGAGTACCCCAGAGGTAAATGCTGGGTCCAGTCCTGTTGGGAAGCAGCTTTTCTTGAAAAGGACTTGGGGGTCCTGGTGGACACCAAGCTGAACATGAGCCAGCAACATGCCCTTGCTGCAAAGAAGACAAATGGTCTCCTTAGCTCTGCATTAGGTAGAGCATTGCCAGTCTAACCATCTTCGTTAACGACCTGGAAGATGAGGCCAGGTACACCCTCAGCAGGTTTGCAGATTGACCCCAATCTGGGAGGAGTGGCTGATACTCTAGAAGGTTGTGCTGTCAACCAGGGGGACCTGGACAGGCTGGAGAAATGGGCCAGCAGGAACCTCTTGGAGTTCTTCTGAACAAGGAGATGTGCAAAGTCCTGCCTCTGGGGAGGAACAACTCCAGGCACCAGTATACACTGGGGGTCACCCAGCTGGCCAGCAGCTTTGCTGAAAAGGGCGTGAGGGTCTTGGTGAACACCAAGCTGAACATAAGCCACAAAGAAAACTAATGGTGTCCGGGGCTGTTAGGCAAAATCTTGCTGGGTGGTGGAGGGAGGGGATGCTCAGCAATGGTGGGGCCGTCCCTGGAGTGCTGTGTCCAGTGCTGGGCTCCTTGGTACAAGAAAGACAGGCACATACTGGAGAGCCCAGCGAAGGGCCACGAAGATGAATGGCTGGAGGGAAGTTGCAAAGAAGAGGGAGCCAGGCTCTTTTCAGTGGTGCCTAGTGGCAGGACCAGAGGCAGTGGTCACAAACTGAAACACCGCAGGTTCCCTCTGAACATCAGGGAGCACTTCACTGTGAGGGTGAC